GGATACAGTGGAGGGGTTTCAACGACCTTGCATTCCTGCACTTTAGCCGTTTTGCAAGACAAAAGCGCAGACAGTTGAATGCCTTCTTCTACTTGTTTATGCGAAGCTGAAGCCGAGGGGGGGGTGAAGTGGGATGTCGAAGGTGCGGACGAGATGTTAGTCGCTATAGCTGAGGGCATATTTACAGTGTTCTCTTCCTCAGGAGACCTGCAAAAAAGTACGCTCCCCGCACAAGTAAGCATGATCCTGCCCAAGGGGCGCTCTCCCATTCCCATGGTTAACGCCACTGTGGGCGAAGGGCTCACTGTGGTACGGGACCCCGACCTTGGGTAGGCAGAGCCGCATTGTCTGGCCCATTTGGTGTTCCGGGGGAGGGGCCCTGGGCCTAAGGCACCCTCCCTTCCTCGTTTCCCTGCGGCACTATGACAAACTTCTGACATTGGCGTACAGTGTGACTTGATCTCCCGCAGGCTTGGCAAGCCTGGTCTGGCCCTGCTACCCCTTTCTGTCTCCCAGGGGCTTGGCACTGGGCTCTGAAGTGACCAAACTGTCCGCACTTAAAACACGGTCCCCTACTCTGATTCTCTCTCATGGCCATTGCTGCTACTATCGCTGTTGCTAATCCCTCATTGGTGAGGGGCATTGTTCTCTGTTTCTCCAGTACATACCTAATGATGTCTCCTGGAGTATTGAGGTCGTCGGGAGCGGCTAGAATAAGATCCTTAACATTTTTGTGTGATTTCTGTTTAAGACAATCCATGATTACTGCATTATGGGCAATCTTTGGCAGATCCTTGAAGGGGTTAGAGTCTCCCGGCCGTGGTGACCCCCCCCCCGCCCGGATCAAAACCCAACAGATCTCTGGCAAGGTTTTAGGCAGTCTTTTCTTCCCTCGCTGCCTTCAAAGCCCCCCGAATCGGACCCCAAAATTTAAGCACCGACGCCCCTCGGGACGACACAGCTCTCTCAGAGAGCATTAATGTCAAAGAGTCCCCTTTACCGGAGTCATAAATCTCATAAGGAGAAGAAAGACGTCCCTCCTTTTCAAGAAAAGAAAGAACGGTAGCCACCTCCTTCTTAGAAGGAGAAGTTTTCCCGCAATAGGTCTTACACGCGGACGAAATCACCTTTATGACGGCCTCCATATTCACTCCGCCGGGCGTTCCTTGTCCCGCGGAGCACGCAACCACCGGGCTCCTCTTCCGATGGTTTCTGGGTCCTCGGCAGGTTGAATGGGCTCCCGCGCGCAGAGCCCCCTCCCGACGCTACCCAGCTTCCACTCTCCTAAGCCGCAGCCCCCTCTTCTAGGGTCATCGTCTCCTTCCCCAAGGGAGACGGATGAGAGTAGGATCGCCACGCCGCCTGTGGCCGACCACTATTCCCTAACGATCACGTCGGGGTCACCAGATGAAGCCTTTCGCCTGCGAAAGACCTCATACAGGTGTTCGCAATCGTTAGGGACTCATCGGTCTGTCCATTTACCCAAGGTGCACACCAATGTGGTGGGTGGTAAAATGGCGTTTATTGCAAGGAGCACATCCTTCTTAAAACTTTCCCCATGCCTTAGGGCTACTACCTGACCAATGGACATGTGGAATGCCTTGTTTCTTCCTTATTTGGTCTATCTTGTTCTTCTCCCTTATCTTCAGGCCATTTGTTGCCATGGTTTCCCAGGGGCCAAGGGGCCCCTGTGCATTTTATTTGTTTCGTTGTGTTGAGGGAAATGCAGAGGGCTGTTGAGTCACCCTGTCCCAGGGGAGGACGGCCTGGTGTCCAAGAGACACAGGATCATGGACTGTCCACACTCCAAAAGGGGCTCAGTGGGATTACATCAGTGAACAAAACAGGTGAACAATAAACCAATGGACCCTTTCCTTTAAATGTACTGCAGGCAGCGCTATGGGGAAAACGCTGCCCTTAGCACTGCAGAGAGCCTGCATAGCAGGAGCAGAGGAAGGCACCACAGTGAGAGCTGGATAGACTGCATCGATGGGCCAAAGTAAACTGAGTTTCAATAGGGCCAAGGGTCGGCTCCTGCATTTTGGTCACAGCAGCCCCAGGCAACCCTACAGCGTTGGGAGGAGTGGCTAGAAGCTGCCTGACAGAAAGGGACCTTGGAGGACTGATGGACAGGCGGCTGAATATGAGCCAGCAGGGGGCCAGGGGGCCAGGAAGGCCAATGGCATCCTGGCTTGGATCAGGAATGGTGTGGTGAGCAGGACCAGGGAAGTCATCCTGCCCCTGTGCTCGGCACTGCTGAGGCCTCACCTCGAGTGCTGGCTTCAGCTTTGGGCAGCTCAGCACAGAAAGGACACGGAGGTGCTGGAGCAGGTGCAAAGAAGGGCAACAAGGCTGCGGAAGGGCTTGCAGAATATGGCCTGTGAGGAGAGGCTGAAGGAACTGGGGCTGCTTGGTCTGGGGAAGAGGAGGCTGAGGGGAGACCTTATGGCTCTCCTCAAGTACCTGAAAGGTGACTGCAGTGAGAGCAGGGCTGGACTCTTCTCACTGGTGACAAGACGAGGGGAAATGGCCTCAGGTTGTGCCAGGGGAGTTTTAGGTTGCACATCAGGAAGAACTTCTTTACAGAAAGCTTCCCAGGGAGGTGTGGGGAGTCAGCATCCCTGGATGTGTTTCAGAACCGTCTGGCTGTGGTGCTCAGGGACATGATTTAGTGGTGAATGGTTAGTTAGGGCAGCGTGGTTGGGCTGAGGTGGGACTTGATGATCTTGAAGGTCTTTTCCAACCTGAGCAATTCTATGATTCTGTGACTGTTGGCAAGGGAGAAATTGTGCACTGGCAGTGAAATCCGTTCTGTTCCGTGCCCTAAACCCGACGCAGGTAATGCCTCCCCTGGCTCTCCCTGCTTGAGCGTCTCAGGCTCACAATCTTCCCCACACTGTTGCCGTGATACATCTCCACCTATGGGCCGCTACCAACCTCTCGTCTTTAGGAATGCTTTGTACTTTGCAATATCTGCAGCGTTTCAAAGTCAGCACATCCGTTCTGCTTTGTGTTTGGACAGGAGAGCAATATTCCAAAGTTAGCACATCTCTCCTGTCCTGTGCTCAGCTCTCCCCATCCTTTGCCTGACTGTCCCCATGCCGTCCTATGCTGTTCTCTCCCATCCTGCGTACTTTCCTTATCTTGTGCCGTCAGTCCTACCCGAGTCACTACAGCCCATTTCCAACTTCCCTCCGTCAGCTTTCTTTACGAATCAATAACGTTTAGGACTCTTTTGTAAGTTCAGCAAGGGCCCCCGCGGCATACAAAAAATAAAATAAATAAATAACTGGAAACAACAGGTTCACAGGAAGGTTCTAATTTCAGGAATACACCACATAGAAAAAAAACCTGGAAGCTTCTACTGCAGAAACACAATCTGCCTCTGTTGTGGTTCTGAGACTTTTTGTTGTCACTGTCGCACACCAGAACGCCGTGCGGAGCAGTGGGACTTCACGAGGGAATCTTCTGGTTGCGCTTCCCGCCTTCTACGGCACGTGGAGCAGCTGAGGGGGGAGGGGCGGCTTCCCGGAGGAGCAGGCGGGCAGCGGCAGCAGCAGCTCCGCTCAGGACCCGAGCGTCTGTCTGTGTCGCTCCTGCCCCAGCTCAGCCCTGGCAAACCTGTGTGCCTGGAAGAAGGCTGCGTAGAGACGTGTTGGCGCCCCATCCCCGAAGACTTCAAAGGCAAGGCTGGAGCGGGCAGGGCGTCCGATGGAGCTGTGGTGTCTGTGTTCATAGTGGGGGAGGTGGACGAGATGGCCTTCAGAGTCCCTTCCAACTCTACGGGTTCTGTGGCTCCATGATTCTTTGCCCTGGGCTATGAATGGATGCAGTATTTGATGTGATCCATTCTCTATGCAACATGTGAGCATAACCCAATGTTTTTGGCCTGCGCCCCTACAAGCTTCTGAGGGTACAGGCACAGTTCTAAAGGCCGCCCATTGTGTGTCATCAGTGACATCACAAAGGGTGAGGGCAGCCTAGGTAATAGCCAAGGGAAAGCCAGAACAGTCGCAGGAGCGACAGCGACAGGAGCACAGGGACCTTCAAGGCTTCTTGAGCACAAGGACCTTCGAGGCTTCTTGAGCACAGTCCACTTCTCGCCATGCCACTTCCGCCTGCCCGTAAGAGCCGGCGAATCTACCTTTCCTTCTCCCCTCCCTTTGCCAGCTCTGGTTCTCAGTCTGGTGAGACGGAGGTGAGACCCCCCTGCAGGCCAAGGTTGGCTTGGCAGGAATGGCCTCCTGAAAAGGAGGAGAAGGAGAAGAAAAAGAAGATCACAAATCCACGTGAGTAACGGGTGGGAAGCACTGGGCACAGCGGTCATGCTTGATTCAAAGCTGGCACCCACCTCTTCCGGCACCTCCTTTCCTGAAACTCCCTTTCCCAGCATGGAGTCCAGCTCCAGCTAAAGGGAGCGTGGAACCACGGGATCCAGGAATGGTTGGGTGTGGAGGGACCTCAAAGCCCTCACAGGCCCAGCCCCTGTTGTGGGCTGGTTGCCACCCACTGGCTCAGGCTGCCCGCAGCCCCATCCTGCCTGGCCTCGAGCACCTCCAAGGATGGGGCAGCCGCAGCTTCTCTGGGCAGCCTGCGCCAGTGCCAACCTCTCCCAGACTGTTGGGATGGGTGCCGAGAGGCTGCTGGGCTGGCAGGATGTCAGGGAAGCAGGCAGGCAGGATGGCTCCATGCCATGCGCTGGGGCCGTTCTTTCGCTCACTCCTTGCCTTTGGCCCCTCTCTACGGTGCTCATTCTTCTCCTCTTGCTTAGGTATTCGCATCTTGGAGCTGTGGAGAGAAACAGCCATCGCATGCATCTGTGAGTTTCTGCAGAGAAAGGACAAGGTAAGAGCAGCTGTTTGCACTCACTGTGGAAACAGCCCCGGTTCTTCTCCAGGCCGCTACCCTGCAGGCATTGCACCGCGCCCCACGATGCTTGGGGTCCTGCTGGCCGTGGATCTCACCTTCATGCCCCCTCTTGTTCCCTCTGTGACTACCAGGATGTGCAAGAGAAAATCAAATTCCTGAGAGGCATCTGCACGCTGTGCAAATGCAGGGACACGTCGCTCAACTTGGATGCTTTCTGCCAAGAAAAGCAGCTGGCAGAGAATGTCCAGGTGGGGAGAAAGGCAGTGGGCTGGAAAAGGGGGCATGGACCCCCTGCACCCTTTTGTGGACAAGGCTGGCACGGGGAGAATTGAGCACGGACACGCAAGTGTCCTCTGGTGGCTGCCACGTCCCATCCATCCCATCCCTCCTGTGTTCTGCAGGCGCTGATCGATGAGGAGCCCAAGCACACTTTGTCCTCGGAGATAAAGCAGGAAGCCATGATGAGCTTTGCCAACATGAGGTAGCTGCCCAGGCCCACATTTGGCTAGCACGGCCCCAGGGCAGGCTGCTGGCGGCCCTGAAGCTGGCAGGGAGGCTTCCTCCTGCCCGTGGAGGTCCACGTCCTCCTTCCCGTGGCCTCGAGGCACACGGTGTCCAACGGGCTTCTCTCTCCCCTTGCAGCACTGTGGAGACAGCGCTGGAAGGCAAAACGGAGAGCATTCTGAATTCCTGCTTCAACAGTGTCTTCTTTTTGCCTCCGGAACTGAGCATACCAGCAAAGGAGAAAGAACTCTACAATGAGGTGTGTGCTGGGTGAGCCACCGGAGCGCCAGGTCCCTTTGGGCTGCTCCCTGGCTCCTTGTGCTGAGACCGCAGGAGAGCCAGGCAGGGCAGGAAGCCAGCTTTGCTTTTCCACCCTCGTCTCGTCTCTTCTCTGGGGATAGGGTTAGCATGAGGCGCCCCGTGAGGTGCCGCAGGCGCCCTTCTGCAACTCTCTGTCCTCTTGCAGACCATGAGGGCCATGGACATCATGCTGGAAGCCTTGGTGCAGAACTGCCCCAACAGGAGAATGAGCGAGGAGCTGCACAGCATGTTTCAGGTCTGGCAGGCAGTTGCAAAGAGCGGGGTCAGTGGGAGGGATGCGAATGTCCCTACTGCGGTGACACAGACCCTCCTTGCACGTGAAGGTCCTGCAAAGGATCCTGCCCCTGCTGCTCTGTTCTTCTTCCCCCGTGGGGAAGATCCCAGAGCTCCTGCTGGAGCGGCAGAAGCTCCCAGGGCGAGTACCAGCAGATTCTCTCTTTGCAGGCTCTGCTCCACTTCCTCAGCTCCCAGGATGTGCATGTCCGTACGAGAGCCCTGCGTGGGGTTTTACAGATGATCCGTAATTTTATGGAAAAAGTAAGGAGCCAGGCACCCTCCAGCCAGGCTGTCTCCCATTCTCCATATCCCAGAGCAGCTCAGGGGTGCCTGCAGCGGGGCTGCGGCTGGGAGCTCTCAGCAGGGCTCTGCCCCAAACAAGGGTCCTTGCCCCATCTTTGCCCCCGCTCTTCCCTCTCCAGGCCCTGCTCTGCTTCCACTCAGCCCTTCCTCTCTTCTCCTTCTCTCACCCAGGACTGGGAGGGCCCTGAAGCTTACAAGCCACTCATTGACTTCTACTTCCCAATCCTGGGAGAGCTGCTGGGTCACCTCAGCCTTTTCAACTGTGGCTACGAAAGCACCAGAGCCCCAGCTGTACAAGCGCTTCATCGCCTCCACATGTTTGTCAAACGACAAAGAAGTAAGACAAGATGGGTTGGGCAGCATCTCTGCTCCTACGTCTGCTCCTTTCTCCTATTCTTATGCTTTGTGAAGCCTGACCGTGGAGTCCGCAAGCTCTCTGAGCTCCTTTACTCTTACGAGCAGCTTCACCATTCCTAAGCTGCCTCTTGCTCCCAGCACCCATCTCCTTTAGCTGTGTAATCCCTTTCCTTCATTCTCCTCAGCATGGGTCCCATCAACCCATGTCTGCTCACCATTGGTTTCCGTGCTCAGGTCTCCTACACCACGGGTCCCCTCTACCGTGGGTCTCCTCAGAACTCCGTTTTCAGCTTAAAGCACCGTTCACCAATTGCTGAGTTTGATGGCAAAGACATTGTTTCCTTCTGACTCTTCTGTGTTCCCTCCCTTTTAGGAACAAGCCTGTCAGCGGAGATGGAAAACTACGTGCATCTCCATGAGGAGCCGGAGGGTAGAAAGTTCAGAGATAATGACTTTCCCACTCCCAAAGATTGTGCTGAGGTAACGTTCTGCCTTGCTGAGGATCTTGTCCATGGCATCAGCAGGAAATGTCTGTGAGCAAGGGGAGTGCGAGAGCAGCAGATCCAGCCCTCCTGGCTGGAGGACCGCAAGGCCTTCTTACCAAACGCCCATGCCCCCACCTGCAGTCCATCTCCCAGAGCCCTCTCTTGCCATCCTGCCCCACGCAGTGACGGAAGCTGATGCTGCCAGCTTTCCTACAGGCTCTGCTGCCCAGCATCTCTGCAGAGCTGCTCTCCCTGCACTGGAGTGCTCAGTGTGGCATCTCTTCCCTCCCCTGCTTCCACCCACAGTTGTTTGGAGGATACCTCAGGCCTGCTGAGAGGATGGACGTCGTCCTCACAGCCCTTCAAGCGCTGGTTGACTCCAGCATCTATGACAAGGAGGCGGCCTGCAGTGTGATGGCCGTGGCCATGGAAGACCACGCCTTCTGGATGCCAGATGTAAGCCCCTTTTGGCCACTGCCCCATCCTTGAGCCCTTTCAGGCGCTGTTTTTCCCTCCCCAGCCGAGGCCTCTGGGGCTCCTGAAGCCGTTCTCAGCGATGGGAAGTGCAGTGGTTTCAGCGGCACCTGTGCTAATGGTTGTGGTCTGTTCTCGCGTGTGTCCCCTTCAGAAAGCCCAGTTCATGACCTTCATCCGCAAGAACCTGAGGAGCATCACCACAAAGGCAGCGCGGCACTGCCTGGACTCCCTGCTGCTCCTTCTGACCAGCCAGATGCCCACGGAAGAAGTCAGGAGCCTGCTGAAGTCCTCTCCACCAAGCGACAGGTACTGTCCTCAGCAGCCTGGAGGGCTTCTTCCAGGTGCCCTCCTGCTCGCCCAGGGCTCTCCAAGCAACGTGGGCCTGCAGGGTTTTAGCTGTGCTAAGGTAGCTCTGCCTACAATGTATTTGGGCTTGCAGCAACGCCCTGGACCCATGGGAGGTGATGCTCTGCATGCCGCAGACCTTGGAGAAGGTCTTGAAGGAGGTGACCAAGGGCTCACAGCTGAGCAGGCTGGTAGAAGGAGTCACAGAAGACACCTGTATCCTCTTCTTGGCTGTGAGTTAATGGAGAACATTTTGCTGCCCTTCGGGGCTGCGTGTGCCCCTGCAGGCTCTCACCTGGCTATGTCTATGTTTCAGCTAATGGCAAAGAGTGAAGATAATGAGGACTTTTTTGGTGACCTGCGCCACCTCAAGACTTTTCTGAAGCATCCAAGCGTGGAGATGCACAGCGTGGTGCTCAGAGGGCTTGTCGTACTCTCCGAGACACGGGAGAAGGTGAGTGGGGCGTTGTCAACCAAAGCGGCACTGGGCTTCTTGGGCAGCGACGGGAGAAGGGTGACGGTCACGGTGGGGCCTGCTGGCTTTGAGGAGCTTTGAGGATGGGACGTCAAAGCCCAGTAAAGTCAGCTTTTACCGTGGGCTAGTTGTCACCTACCAGAGCAGGTTGCCCCTGGCCCCATCCGTCCTGGCCTTGGGTACCTCCAGGGATGGGGTACCTACTTCTCTGGGCAGCCTCACCGCCCTCTGAGAAAAGGATTTCCCCATTGGCCTTGCGACTGCCGTGCCCGCTGCCAGCAAGTGAAGCAGGAGACTGGAGCTCAGAGACGGGAGCCTTTTGCCCAGGCGGTCGTTCCCGCATCAGACAAAGGAACTTGCGTTTCCTACAGGCAAGAAAAATGCGGGTGGTGCTGCCAGAGATCATGGCCACCCTGCAGGATGCCAGCGCAGACATCAAGATGAAGGCCCTGTTTGTCATTCAAAACATCATGGGCTGCGTGAAGAGGAAGGAGGCCAGCTCCATTGCCGTGCAGCACGCCGAGAAGCTCCTGCCTCTCTTTGTCGATGTAAGTGAAGCTGCTGCAGGAGGCAGAGCCCTCGCAGGGCACTCTGCAGTGCCCCCGCCTCTGGCCCAGCTGTGTGGGCAGCACTCGCATCGGGCCCTCTCCCCTCCCCGCTCCTCCTGGGGCTCCTTCCGAGCAGTGGGACGGCTGTGGGCCCTCGGAGAGCCCCGCGCCCAGCATCTGCTCCCCACCCTTGGCTTCCGGCCCTCCGTGCCTCCTCCGCTGCCTGTGCAAGGCCAGGCCAGGCCTGGTCCCCACGCACGGTGCAGGAAGGCCCGCAGGCGCTGCGTGCCACGGAGGCCGTGTGAAGGCGGCCCGGCCTCCTCGTGCTAGAATTCTCTTCCTTCCTCCCTCCCTCCCAGGAGTCCAGTGCCGTGCAGGTGTCCTCCATCCGTCTCTACAGAGACATGGTGCAGGCCGTGGTCTGGTGCCACCGGAGCAGAATGAAGGGGACGGTGCGCAGAGGCCTGGTCCCACTGCACCTTCGGATGCACGATGAGAACCAGGACGTGGCCCAGGTACAGTTTTCCGCCCCACCGAGGGCACGTGACACCGTTTGGGTGCTGTGGGTGCCAGGGTGCGTGGCTGCTGCCCGAGGCCCGGAGGACAGGCCCAGCTCCCTGCCGTTCCTTGCACCGGAGCAGGCGGCGGGGTCGTGCATCCACAGCCTGGGCTCCGAGCTCTGCTACCCGCAGCCTGGGTGTCGAAGGCCTGGGACAGAGCCAGCTGGGAGCCCAGCGTTGTGCTGGGTGACCACGGAGGGGCTGCGGCTCCGTGTCTCTGTGTGGCCATCACGCCCTGCTGTCCGTGTTCTGTTCCCTTCCCACAGCGTGCTGGGAAAAGGCTCCCGGCCCTGGCAAGAGGAGGGCGATGCCGGGTCTCCTTCCTCGGGCCTTGGTGCCATCTCCCAGCTTCTGCTTCCCCACAGGCCGCCAGGAAAGCCATTGTACAAACGGCCCGTCTCCTGCGCTGGAACGACCTCCTGGAGCTGGCTGAGAAACAGGAGACGTGGAGGATCGCGCAGTGCTTGGTAAGGAGAGCCCCAGAGCCCAGAGCAACAGGAACAGCGCGGGGAGCTGGGGAACATCTGCAATCCCCATGTTCTTATGCTTTCTCCAGCTGCAGCGGGACCAGAGCAGGGCACAGGAATACCTGCAGCAGAGCCAGCCCTACCTGCAGGACCCTCAGGCCGCCGTGCGAGTGGAGGCCGTGAGGTTCATTGGTGAGCCACAGCCCCTTTGTCCCTCTTGGCAGTGGTTGGCGGTCCCAGCCACTGCCCTGTGGCCCTAAGAGCCCCTTGAGTGGGTCCCAGAGCCCTGCTGCCTTGCTCAGGCCGCCCTCGGCCACTCTCGCTGCTGGGGAGCAGTGCGGCTCTGCTGCTGGCAGCAGATCTGACGGGTGCTCTGTGCCTAGGGTTTGCTGCGCGCTACTCAAGGGACCTGAGTGAGAAGCAGCGACAGGACATCATCACGGGTAAGTGAGGGCTGTGGTGTGTGTACTGAGGCTGGGGGCAGAGACTCCCATGCCTCGCTCTCCTCCCAGGAAATTCTTGGGGCAGAGGGCGATACCGAACCACAGAGTCCTAGAAAGGTTGACTTTCAAGCGACCTTAAGGATCTCAGAACCAGGGAATCCTAGAGAGATGGGACCAGAAGGGACCTGAGAGATCACGCAGTCACGAGATCCTAGAATAATTCAGTGGAAAGGGAGCTCAAAGGTGGTACAACCATGAAATCCCAGAGTGGGAGAATGGTTCGGTTGGAAAGAACGTTTAAGGCCATCCTGTGCCAACCCCGTACTGTGTCCTGGATGCCCCTGGACACAGGATCAGGCTGCCAAGGCCTCCATCCAACCTGGCCTTGACCACCTCAACGGGTAGGGAACCCGCATGTTTTCTGGGCTGCCTGTGCCCTGTAAGGAAAGGCCTCCCTGCCCTGTAAGGAAAGAATTCTGTCCTAAGTCAGAGTCCGAGGAAAGGGCAGCAAGGCTGATATTGTGGTGGGAGCCCAAGCTCGATGAAGAGGGAGATGATATCATGTCATTGTCCGTGATGTCTGCTGGGAGTAGAATGCCTGGAGAGGAAAGTCTTGGGGAGATGCCTGGGGTGTGTGAAGGAGAGCCTCCTTTGCAGGATGTGAGAGGAAAGGAGGGAATGTGTCCACCTGCAAACAGGGAAGGACATGTGGGTTATGTGATGCTAATGATCTCAAAGGTCATTTCCAATTGAGATGATTTGGTGATTCTAATGCATTTGGCTCTTTCCTGATGGGCCGCTCCGTTTGTCCTACCCAGCCTGGGACAGAGACGTGTGGCATTGGAGCGGTCTGCGGAGTTCGCCAGCGATCTCTGCAGATTGCTTCATCCCTGCTCTGTTTCTTCCTGTTGCAGCCCTGGCGCCTTTGGCCCGTGACGCGGAGAGCTCGGTCCAAAGCTTGGCAGTGCAGACCACATTGATCCTCAGAGCGACCACGAGGACAGCGACATCACGACGGGGCCTGCGAGCGCTGTGCTGTCTGTTCCGCTGAGCTGCAGCACTCCTGAGACAGCTCTGTCCCTCGGAGGAGCACAGCAAACCCAGTGCCCTGCTGCCCTTCTCCCTGGGGCGTCCCTGCCCGTGCTCAGCAGGCGCCGCCATTCCCGGCCTCTGCTCCCGGCAGCTGGACGGCGCATCCCTCTGCACCCCCGCGGCCACGGCTGCCCAAGCTGTTGGCTTGGCTGAGCAGCACTGAGTGAAGAGGGATTGTCTCAGGCCGCATCTGCGCACATATACATCATGTGCAATGTAACATGTAATAATGTAATGGGCTGTGTGTAATGGATAACATTACGGATACATATATGTTCAATGTATAGAAACAACCAACCTTCTTCTTGTATATCTTTTTGTATATCTATTTTTATATTTAATAAAATATTTTTATAAATACAACGGTCCCTTCAAACTTGTGGGAGATTTAACCTTTGCTTCCCTGAAACTAATGCAGCAATTTCTGTTTCGGTGGAAATGGCTGCAATTCTAAATGAGTTCTCGTGGTGCTCATCAGAGATGGATTCTCCGTGGGGAAATCATGAGCCAACCCGGTAGCTTTCTCTAATGTCATCACCGGCTGCGTAGTTGGGCGGAGAGCAGTGGGTGTTGCGTCCCTTGTCTTCA